CTTCTCCTATACTGTGACGTTGCTTACATCTGAAGGCAACATGGTCAACACTCTAGGTATGATCCTCTTTACACTCTGTGTGTTACAGCTGGAAAAACACAGCACACGAGTCCAGGGACAAACTGGTCCACACTCTTACACAGCTGTGTTAAACATCCTGCAATTCTCAAGAGGAGCCATGTGGACAAATTTCAGGTTTTCACATAATGGAGTATAAATAGAAGCCCTGAGGCTTCAGAAATGTAATGGGACTTAGATTTGATGGTTTTTAAAGTGGAAAAGCAAACATGATTATAGGCCAGTGAAATTGTACCAACATAGCTGTATGGATAGTGACTTAAATTATGTAGTTAATGCTTGTATGAGCTCTTGATCTATCCATTAAAAAACAAATTGGTTATGTCATGTGGACTTGCAACACTTCATAATAATTTTCTGGTTCTCTGAATTTGTAATTTCACCACAGCAAGTAACCTTCAGCTGCAGATATGAATGGAATGTATTTTGGACCGATGCCCAGGGTGCACCTTGGACTTCACAGCCTCACATTTTCAGCCTTATTTAACCGGCCTATACCACAGCATTGCCCCTATTAAAACCATAACAATTATGAGTAGAACCTGCACGAGACATCTCCAGTCTAAACAAACCAAAATCACACCTATAATATAGACAGAAAAGGCAACCGAGGCATTTAGCATGGCATTCAAGAACGTTAACCTCAGCAGGAAACAACTTTCAGCCACTTCCGGACCTGTTTTTCTGAGCTCTGCGTGAGTTCATTATTCAACAGCTCACTCTAGGAGACTACAGAAGGTGCAGAGGACTTAACCAGAGGACAGAGAAAAGTTTCATAACCAAAGAGGCTGTTTTGCTGTCCTTGAGGACAAGCAGCCACTGAACCAAGCTGTGTGAACTGTGGCTTAGTGTAGGTGTTCCCTCCTACCATTTGGCAGATAAATAAACTGTCTTAATAACGGTGTTCGCCTTTGTGCACGAGAATATCTGCGTCTGCATGCATCACAAATCCTACAGTGATTATCCAGCAGGGTGTGGCTGTTGAGCGGTGGGCCAGCATTAAGCCAGCTATGACTACATTCACAACGCACGGTCAGAAATGAGCGTCATATTGGTGCTACCTGCGCAAATGTTACCCTGCAGCTGGAGTTAAGAGGAAGTGAAGACAAGTGAGGAAGACAAACCACACCCCTGAAAACCACAAACATAATTCAGGCTATAGGCGTGTCAGGAGAGCAAGCTGTAATACCGCTGCCACAGTTATTCCTGAGCTGTTTTAAAACTTTTCTCAAGTTGACTAATGAAGGGCGAGGTGTCGGTGCAGCGAGCAGGTAACAATGGGAGAAAAAGGTGCGGGTTCCAATATTGCAGAACTTCGATCACAGAGAGTGGGGTCTCTTTCGATTTCTTCACCACTCTTCCTCTTTCCATGTAGAATAGAGGAACTAATAGGAAACTTGCAGAGCAGTCAGTGACCTATTCGATACCAAAAACACCAGGCCACATTGGCAGAGATCCCATCAGGCTGTTGTCATAGGAACGGCCCCAACAAACAGGCCTGGCCTAGACAAGTCTGTCACACACATTCTTGAGTAAAACCAGAGGAAGTATTTAAGTCATTCGGCTAATTTTGTGAATTATGACACCAACGAGTTATGAATCAAGTGTCCAGACATGCTAAAATAGTCGTGCTGTAGGATACACAGTGACATTCAGGCCCACCTTTGCAAAAGCTGACTTCATAAGCTAGGAGAAATGACACCTATTACTACACAGCAAGTAATAACGAACTTCCTTTCTATGACCCAAAAGCCATTCCTATCCTTTCCTCTCAGGAAGTGTAAGGAATTCCAGCTGAGCACAGAGGGAGTTGACACAAGGGCCAGGAGGTCTCATCTTTACAGAGAGGTCATAAAACCTTGCTTACAGTCCCTGTCCTTGCCCCAGGGGCTCCAGTGTTACCAATAAAGCTGTGAGGATCATATGGTTGTAATGAAGTGGTGGGAACCAAAGTGTCCATTACAGCCCAATTAAACTGCCATCAGCGTCTAAAGGAGGCCCTTGACCAAGCCCTTACTGAAAGCAAGTATTTACAAATACCCTCAGAAACCCGGGGACTTCCTCGACTTACAGAATTTAATTTACTGATCTTTTTTTTTTTTTTTTTTAATGGAGCATTCAAAATCACAATGTGCAGGAGGTGTGTGGGTTGTGTGAAACATCTCCTGTAGCAGTGTAGTCATATTTGTCTGTGTCACCTGACCTGTCTGACGGAAACCTCTGTGGTGCTAAAGCAAACATCCTGAGGCCTCTACAGCAAACTTGCTAAGCACCAGATTTTCCACACAGCAAATGCCACCGTGATCATAAAGCCAAAACCGTCTATGGATGCACATGCGCACCCGAGGATACAGTGTCTGATTGTCAGTGAAGGCTGCAAATACTTTACTTGTATGCTTGAGAGAGAGTGTGCATCCTATTCTTGTAAAAAAAAAAAAAAAAAGCAACCTCTGTGTTTTTGAGCGGCTTACATAGTGCCAGTTTTTATGTGGATGTGTAAAACACTGGCAAAGACACAGTGCCCTTCAGTGTGCTGAGTGGAAAAATCCTTCAAAATCTGCGGAATAATACTAAGTAATCTTTTGTAGCCCTAAACACAGCGGTCAGACCATTTGTCACCATCAATCCTGTCTTTGTCAGGACTGAAAACACTCTTGTTAATCAGCTTTAATGAAAACTAAAACATTCCTCCACCACTGTGTCACAGTGGTGTCGCTCTCTTCTGTGAATCTGAACTGACAAATTCAACTTTTAAAGGAATATTTTACTAAAAATATCTTTCGTTTTTCTTTGCAATGAAAATGTGATAAACTTGAGCTAGAAAGAAATAACTATACAGCAGCAGCAAGAATGAAATGTATTTTAGCAGAGTAGGAAAGAGGAATAGTACAGAAACCAAAGGATGTGGGCCTCATCTTCCTATTTTGAGTCACTTTTAAGATACTACACAATTATATAAACATACTGTAGTATTGTTATGACACAATACAACAGCCACTTTCCTTATTCAGAAATGTAAACTGTCTCATTAGCACCTGTTGTCTCTTTAGAGGTTATTTATGTGACTTAGGGGTAAACTGTCATTAGACTCAGGAAATCACAGAATAGCATTACTCACATGGATTTTTTTTTTTTTTTGTAACCGATACACATTTCCTGTTTAACACCAGTCCTGCATCAGACATCATTCTCACTGAATAAGAAATAACCCAGTCTCGCTTTTTAATACAAGTCCCAACCAAAAGCAAACTCAGGAAGTTGCAGCTGACAGCTCAGCATCAACTCAACTGTGGCTCACAACCAACACGCAGCATTCAAAAAGAATTCACAGTTCAGCTGTATATCTCCACTGCCCCTCCAACTCTCATGCAAACTATCATGTGGCTCTGTTGTTGTTCCAGAAAGACCAGCAGTTGGACTTCCTGTTTTGTACATTTTCTCATTTACTGGCAAGGGAACCAAGGCCAGCAACTTAGTCTGAGGGTGGACATAAACCCTTTATGAAGAATTTGTCCAATAGCACTAAAACCCAGGAGAATTTTAAAACTACAGACTTCCACTTTGAACTATGAGCATTCTTGAAACTTTCCCACCGTTTTTTTAAAACCACTGGTCGTATATTAAGCTGTGCTACTTACAAATAAATACATAACTTTCTCTTTCTTGAAACCCCTCCCCCAAAAATCAGACATAACAGATTTAAAATCACTTTTTTAATAAGACATTACAATGACATTGTTCTGTACATGGTTCCCCCAGTCAAAATAGGAGTAAGAGCTGCACCACAGGGTGTCTTCAACATTTCACCGGTAAACAGCTCCCTCTGACTGCACGACAGATGGACTCTGATGTAGGGTTACTGTACTTCCGTACTCATGCTACAGATATAGGCTATCATATAATGTCCCAATACTGAGACTAATCAACTGTGGTATCAGATTGAGAGAGCTCAGAGCTGAATGACATTCCTTTGGAAAGATTGAGTCGACTGACTACATGTTACCCAAAATTAAAGATGCATCCCGACAAGCATGTTTAAGAGTTACTGGAGGCCTATCTGTTGTATATTCAGCACAATTAGGTATCAAGACGTGACACAAAAGGTCAATCAGTAAACTATATAGCCCACATAGGGGGATAGGGAGGGGAAACAAAACATGTCTGAAGTCATTTTTTTTCTCTGATGCCAAGACTGATGACAATGAAATGTAAGCAATGCTGAAAGTTTTCAGTCAATACCATCGAGGAGAGATACTTTTCATCACAGTACTGTGTTGAAGCAAATGCCAAAGTCCTTCACGTAGGCTACATGAAATTAAAGATCTCACCTTCGAAGGAAAAAAAAAAAAAGATCCAATGCAACAGAGAGTGAAGAACCTCGAAAACAAGCGTGAGTCCAAGAATGAAGATTAAAAACTTCAGCTTCATTAGAAAAATAATATAAAATAGGGAAAAGAATAGGCAAAGATGGTGATCTCTGTGGCTTTAACATTAGGACCAATTAATTCAATATTCATCAAGCACGCCCCCAAAAATAATGAATGTGATAAAGGCCTGCTACAGAGTACAAGCAAACTTTAAGCCAGCAAACCCAGTTTAAGATGAATTAGTCATGGGGTAAACGTAGTATTAAAAATAAACGGGAGATAATCAACTTTTTCCTTAACCATACTCATTTTGAGAAGTTATTTGTTACTTGCAACGTTATTATAGTTTCGACCTAAAACAGTCTGCACTCAATCATTAAGATTTGTAATTTGAGGTTAGCCATGTCAAGCCCTCATACAGTCCATCACCTGTGGTCGCACAGGAGGGCTGAACATACCAATTCCTATCTCTGATGCGGGTCAATCCGAGCTTCTCTTGGATTTCATGCGGCTTCATGGCGTCCGGAAGGTCTTGCTTATTGGCGAATATCAAGATGATGGCATCCCTCATCTCCCGGTCATTGATGATGCGGTGAAGTTCCTGCCTCGCTTCGTCGATGCGATCCCTGTCCGCGCAATCCACCACGAAAATTAACCCCTGGGTGCCCGTGTAGTAGTGTCGCCACAGAGGACGGATCTTGTCTTGGCCTCCAACATCCCAGACGTTGAACTTGACATTTTTGTAGGTGACAGTCTCCACGTTGAAGCCGACCGTGGGGATTGTGGTGACAGACTGTCCGAGTTTCAGTTTGTAAAGGATTGTTGTCTTTCCAGCAGCATCGAGTCCGAGCATCAATATTCTCATCTCCTTGTTGCCAAATATTTTTGATAGCACTTTCCCCATTTTGAACTCTTGTGCATAAATACTTTGTTCCTAACGAAAAAAGAATGTCCGATACTGTGCTGATGATTATTCACTGTGACTATATCTTCAGTTTACGGGCTTACTTGTGAAAACATGACTCAGTAAAGAGCATATGTGGAGGGGGGGAGTAGTCAAAAATGCACTCTCATGTTAAAACCTAACACACAGTACGTTTGGACTTTTTCCTTGTAAGTCTGTGCGTCCTGTTAAGTGCTGGGACATCTATCTTCAGAGTATCACAATGTCTGCAGGGCCTGTACACAACATGGCACGGTTACACTAAGAACTTGGCAGCAGCTGTTGCAGGACGTTCATTTTGTTGCCCAAATCAACATTAAGCTGCGTGTCGGACAGGCCGTGGCGATTAAACACTGCAGAGATCAAACGCGGAGTGTACATAAGGCCCCGAGAGAGCTGCGGTACTTGTGAATTCCTTCTGGCGTTTGTGTCTGGCGGTCCTCCTCATCGGGTGCGCCCTTGTTCTCTTCACGGATACCGGAGGAGAAAATCAGCTTTCTGCGGCTAGTCCATCAAGCGTCGAGCCGGGTAGCTTCACCGTGCTGAAAGGAACTTCTTCGTAAAAAAACCCCCTCGGTGACTCAGCAACACATGCATCCACTCATGAAACTCCACTTCTTGTCCCCCTGAAAAGAGATTTAGGAGGAGGGTCAGACATGCCAAATTAGCAAGCTACCGCTCATGGCTGCTAAAGTAGGCTAGCAGGCTAACATAAGCTAGCGTGTTGCCTAGCAAGCTAGCCCTGAGCTAACTGGATAACGGTAGTTAGCTGTTGGAAACTACTCGTACATGGATATAAAATACGCGAGACTGTGACAAAATGATTAGCTCACTTCTTTCTGAGTTGAACACTTAGTTGGAATGTAAGTATTTTACCTCCTATCTCCCCCTCCTGTCTCGATAAATACACCCAGCTCTCGTCTTTCTCCTTTAAGTCGAGCTGGTCGCAGAGCTCGCTGCTACACCGGAAAGGTGTGGAACTGCATTAACCGCCACTTCCTCCCGTCGACTTCATTCAGCTGCTGCTGCTGCTGCTGCTGCTGCCTGGTACAGCTCTCACTGTCTGGGGCATCCACGACCCACAGGAGAAACAATTAAATGCCCAAACTGACATTAAAATAAAGTGCAGACTTAAGGTTACTTCTTTGTGCGCCATGTGTTTATTTGTTAGTTACACATTAACAGCATTTAGCGTTAGAATTGTGATGCTTGATTCAAAACTGTGCCCCGTAACGACGTTTTCTTTTTTTAGGTTTCTTTGAAATAACTACATTAAATATGAAAATGTTTTTTTTTACATGTTAATGGGAATACACGTTATGGGTAATATTTTCAGAATCTAATGTTTTCATTTGATTAGTGACTCTCTATGTAGCCTATGTAAAGGACACTATCACCCCCTTGTGGCAGCTATTTCTTACCTAAAGTCAGTCAGTCCCATGTATACTGCACTATTACACTTGCATTAGTCTCAATAGCTCACTATTATTTCCTCCACAGAATCTCATTTTCATTCATAATGAACAAAGTGAAATTGTCTATAACGCACAACTAATCAACTCTAATTACATCGTTATTTCACACATCAATTATGTCATACGCATAAGCATGAATCACTTACAGAAGAAGACAAACAAATGAGTAAAAGTCAATCAGATAATGTTAGCTATGCTTAAGTTATCAAAATGTACATTACTTAGCCTCCCATGTCATCATTGTCCTTTACCACCCTACCAGTAAATACTCATTGCAGGTATTGTACAGTCTTTATTTAAGAGCCAAAACTACATTGTCAGCCAGGGCCTAATATATACAGCATAGTCTTGTAAGACTATGAATCGTCGGCACATGTTGTTCATTCTTTGTAGCTTTTATCTCTTAAATAGGCCTTATTTATAAGTTGAGTACCTGGAGACATTTGAAACATTTTTGAGACATACTGTAGGTGCTTAGTATTAAGTATTTCATTGTGCTTTATTGTTGGTCAAAATGTTGATAAATGCATGTTCGTCTACTTTTAATGCTTGGATTCTTGGAAGTGTGGTAAAGAATATGATACAATAATTATTGGACGCTTAATGTGCCCATCTTCTCTATCAAAATTATATCATATGTGATATTTAGAGATTAAAATGGTATTAGGTTAGTTGTAACTTAGGTTTGATCAATAGACAGGTGTCCATTAGCAGGGGCTTGGCCTGTGGTAATGTCCCAAGCAGCTATATTCCTTACTAAATGTCCAAGTCAGTCCCATGTATACTGCACTATTACACTTGCATTAGTCTCAATAGCTCACATTATTCCTCACAGAATCTCATTTTCATGTCATAAGACAAAGTGAAATTTCTATAAACACAACTAATCACTCTATTACATCGAATTATTAGTCACCACATCATTATGCATCAACGCAATAAGCATGATCACTTACAAAAAGACAACAAAGAGTCAAAAGTCTATCAGTATATGTGAGCTATGCTTAAGTTATAAAATGTCATTACTTTAGCCTCCCCCATGCTACCATGTCCTTTACCCACCCTAGCAGTAAATACATCTATTGCAGGTAATGTTACAGTCTTTATTTAAGAGGCCAAACCTACATTTTCTGTGCCAGGAAATGCACTGGCAAGGATATTAGATTTTCAATAAAGGTGTGCCTTTTTTGTGTAAGCACACCATAAAGAATTGTGTGCTGGGCATGTTATTGATTTATTATAAAGAGAGGGTGACCCCCCACTGAGCTCCAGTGAGGTTATTGTATATAGAGAATACATGTATTGTATCTACAATGGGTGACATAACCAGAATGGTAAAAGAGAATGGCTACTTTCACAGCAGACATTTTGACTTGTCATAGCAGGAAAGCAGCACAGGTGAAACTAATACTGTTAACAATAGCTCTGTTCAATAAACTCACCCACACAGTTTTTAGAAAATATGTATTCAGGCAAAAGAGGTAAAAGCACATGTGCTGGGTGCATGGAGCAGTGGTTTGTAAGTCCTTTAATATATTGTTTTTTTGTATTCAATCTTAGGTCAATATATTATTCTATTGTTCAGCCACAGCCAGGGCCCTAATATATACAGCATGTCTTGTAAGAACTATGAATGTCGGCACATGTGTTCATTTCTTTGTAGCTTTTCTCTTTAAATAGGCCTTTTTTAAGTTGAGTTACTGAGACATTTGAACATTTTTGAGACATACTGTAGGTGCTTTAGTATTCATACCAAGTATTCATTGTGCTTTTCTTGTTGTCAAAATGTTGATAGATATTCATGTTCGTCTACTTTTAATGCTGTTCTTGAGGAAGTGTGGTAAAAATATGATACAATCAATTCATTGGAGCTTAATGTGCAGCCATCTTCTCTTCAAAATATATCATATGTCATAATTTAGGCATTAAAATGTATTAGGTTAGTTGTAACTTTAAGGTTTGATTCCAATAGACAGGTTCACATTAGCAGGGGCTTTGGCCTGTGGTATGTCCCAAGAACAGGCTTGTTATACAGACTGAACAGGATCCTGCTTTGGTAGCATGTTTTTGCCCCATGATGCCACTGTGAGTAATTCCTTGCATAAATGAGGATTACAAGTTCGTTGAATTTAGAAATATAAATTACAAGGATTTAAAGTAAAAAAACAAAACAAGCTAATTTCTTGCTTTGGCACAAGTGAGAGAGTCATTTCAAAGTGAGAAACTTCTCTCTCTTATTGTAATACAAAAAAACCAAAAACTTTCAGATTTCACTCCATATTTGATACCAGATGCCTTTACACTGCATAATGTGGAAAACTTTGTGTCAATTTTCTCTTTGATGAATAAAAGACTAACTCGAGGAGCCTTAGATGTCCTTAGTTTGATACAACATAAATCTGTTAACAGAGAAGTTCTTGGTAAGTATGTACGCATGGGTACAGTCATACTGACGAAGTTTAACACAGTCTTATACCATCTAGGGAGGAACAAAACAATTCTGGGTAACAGAATCAATGTCAAAGTGTCTCTCTGCTCATTATTATCCAAGGAGTCTGGAACCTCTCCAAGGCACATCTTATCTGTGGCACTGGACAGGCTGGCTCTTTCCTATGTGGAAGTGTGAAGGCACCTGTACCCTCTTTACGCCAATAGCATGTCCTACATAATATTAAAAGGATTTTTTTAATACCACATTATAAATATTTTTTTACCACACTGTATTCTATAACTAAATGTAATTAGAAAGGTTTGTCAGTTTTAAATTAGGACTAATTAAAAAGAAAATGACCAGAACTAATAATCATGAAACTCATTGTTCATTGGTTGTTGGCATACTTCCCAGCATACATTGTATAGGTTAAAATTCTATTTTCTCCTAAAAAAAGAGTTTCATAGTCTTCTCCCTGATAGAAAATCATAATTATGAGGGGTGCCCTAGTGGCCTATGGGTAGAGGGCTGCTGATCATTAACTGCCTGGACACAGGCCTTTGTTGCTTGTTGTTCAATCTCTCTCCTCATTAATGTCCTATCATCTCTCTAGGTACAATAAAGGCATTACACTGTCAACAAAAATCATAACAATAAAACATAAATAATTAAAAGTAAAAAAATGAAAACCATGGTGAAGATATATATACATGTCGACTCTCCTCACTCTTTCTGCATCTACCACATACATTATGGGTTCCACATGAGTCATCACTGATCCTGATGTGCATGAGGCTGCATGCTAAAACTGAAACAGTCACTTTAGAAGACAGACTTGTAACTATTTAAAGAGAGTTAAACATAATATTTATTTTTTTATTTAACACAACTGGAAGTCAGACTAAATTATAATCTGAAACTTCCAAGAAAAATATAGACTTGAGTTAGTTTAATTTACACATAAACAGAAATTAAAATTGCACTTTTAACCAACTGAAAAGCCAAACTTAAGTGGCTTTATTGTATCAAATAACAATGTGAAATGGGTTGCTTGAAATGGTATATAAAGGTATATCGCCAGAAGATTAAAATCGGTGAGATGAAAAATGAATTGTGATATCAGATGTAGTATTAAAGTGATTGATTAGACATCAGTTTTACTTCACAAGTAAAAGTCTCCGAGCCAAAACCAGCAGG